CTGCACATGGATCCTGCTCTAACAACACTATAATGTAGACCACTCTTATTACACCTTGATTTCAGTATTTAAATCATGTCACATTTTTTTATTACAGTAATAGTTACAACCACCCTATAAGGTAGCCAGTATGATGATTCCACTGTTTCAGTGTTAAGAACACCTCACAAATGTTAGGACAGCAATCCTGACAATAGCCCTATAAGGTAGGGCAGTATCATTCCTCCCGTTTGCAGCATTTAACAATACCTCTACTATATTATCACAGCAATCCGGACTAGGTAGGCCAGTATTATCCCCCTGATTGCTGATCCCCCTGAGGCTGAGAGAGAATGTGTTTCTTGAGACTCCCTAATGAATTTGAGATTTGAACTGGGCATCTCCTGGATCACAGCCATTATGTTACAAAAGCTCCCAGGTGTGGCCAGGCTTTTATCTGCAATGATTTTAAGAAATCATGAGGCAAAAAAGGGAAACAGAATTAAAACAGGGGTGTGCCTGAGACCCTTTGCTGCATTCGGGCATCAGTTTTAACCAGTTATTTAGCCATGATATGCACAACACACACATTGTTCCTTCCCCTTTCTTGTACAGAGAATTACAGCTTAAAAACTAAGTCTTTTTACCCATGACATATGAATGCTGGCACATGGGTTAGCCAGAGTTAGTTTCCCCTATGAGCCAGGATGCTAAACCTGGATTAAATTCTAGTTGAGAATCTGCTGCCTGTGCCATGATTATTGTTTCTCTGCTTCTGGTCCATTTTATGCTGTTCTTCCGCCTTTTTTAAGTGTCTTGCTGACATTTTATGAGTGTCACCTTGAATTCTGTTGTAGTGGGAAAGGCAATGTAGAAATTTTAAAATAAGTAGAATAAATAATTGAAGATGACAATAAAAAGGGGTAATGAAAGATAAACTAATGTCTGCTGAACAAAATGTAAAATAAAGGGATGTAAATCTGTATCAGATAATTTGCAAAAGGAAACTGCAGTTTTGATTCTGGACATTTTATTATTTTTATAGCACTGGCAGAGGATGTTCTGCACAATACAAGATAGGGGCATAAATTAAGCATTTCACAAGACTTCATTTCAGTGGGGGTCGGGGACTTGAGATAGAGAAGGAGTGTCACGTACATATATGTGAAGAATGAATGTTCTTGCAAGGAGGGTTTTTTGTTTGGTTGGTTTTTTTGTTTGTTGATATGGGGGGGGGGAATCAAAAAAGAAAGAAAGTCCCCAAACAGAGATGGGATTAGTGTTATAAAACTCAGTGGAGTATCCTAGCAGCTTGTCCATGACTGTATTGAATGATCATGGAGAACAAGACAAGCTGTGCTGGCAAGCTGAAAAAAATCCAGACAGGCACGCTTCTTTTGCTTTCCAAAATGTTTGCAGTCAGGGTTGTTGTCATCATCCCCATTGTTTGTCTTCATGTCTGTAGAAAGTCCAGCAGTGTGGTTTTTTTTATTCTTGAGTGGGTGGGCAGGGTGTAAGCCATGTTAGTCTGTTGCAGACAAAATAACCAAGAGCCTTGTGGCAGAAGCTCTTGTGAGCCAGAACCCAGTTGCAGGTATGGTAGGGGTCTGCAAGGATCTATCCTAAACATATATTGTTGTTCTTGTTAGTCATTCAGTCATGTCCAATTCTTGGCGATATTGTGGGCCAGCTCTCTCCGTGTTTTCCCATCACTCCTTGGCAAATAGAAGGGGAAGTCATGGAAGCAGTGACAGACTTCATGTTCCTAGGATCCAAGATCACTGGAGACGGTGACTGCAGCCATGAAAAATTAAAAGATGCTTGCTCCTTGGGAGGAAAGCTATGGCGAACCTGAACAGCATAATAAAAAGACATCACCCTGCCAACAAATGTCCGTATGGTCAAATCAATGGTATTCCCAGTATGGCTGCAAGAGTCGGACCATAAGGAAGGCTGAGCGCTGAAGAATAGATGTTTTCAAATGATGGTGCTGGAGAAGACTTGAGAGTCTCTTGGACTGCAAGGAGATCAAATCAGTCAATCCTAAAGGAAATCAACTGACTGTTCCCTGAAAGTTGAAGCTCAAATACTTTGGCCACTCCTAGAAAGTGAAAAAATAAAAAATATAAGATTATCCAACAAACTTTTATAATCCACAGTAGGGTCTTGAAAAGATAAATTTAACTGTAAGTCCAGAAAAGTAGTGACAGATAATGTAACTGTAGATTCGCAGGTGAGGGGAGAAGGGCTAACGGAGCACACTAGGTTTAGGTGGGCTGAATGAATGGATTGATTGGACCGGTCACTGGGGGGGTAGCTTGTTTGAATCATGTATAATTTCAGAACTGGTGCCAAAGGAGTCAGTTCTGACATGAATGGTCTCAGCTTGAAACATCTTCATCTCTCAATAAACAACTCACTACCCACGTGTTCCCCGGAGAGCACTGTGATCAGGGACGCAAAATTCGCTGGCTCTTCCAGGCCCCAAGGTTATTAGGCTGGCGACTATCAGGGCCAGAGCCTTCTTGGTAGTGGCTCCATCCTGGTGGAATGAGCTTCCGGAAGATATCAGGGCCCTGTGGGACCTTCTACCGTTCCACAGGGCCTGTAAAACGGAGCTCTTCCACCAGACGTTTGATTAGGATCTGCATTTTATACCAAGGAGTGTCCCTGTGCCCTGGTCTACCTTCTCTATCTCCAGCCTACGCCCTGGCATACCAGCGCTGTCTCTGGCCTGTGCTCGCTGCAAAATAAGTGAGAGAACCAAGCTGGTGTGGAAGCCATTAGACCTATATGGCCACCTAAGCCAGGCCATAAAGACCGTTTGCTCCTGTTTTATTTGGATGTTCCAGTGCTTTTAGGTATATTTTAAATTACTGTTATTTTATGTGATTTTTTTAATGTCTTGACAACCTTTTAATTGTAGTGTACTTCATGAAATGCAATGTAAGCTGCCCTGACTCTGCCTCAGTGGGGAGGGTGGGATACAAATTGAGATAAATAAATAAGAAAGTGTTGTTGGGAGCAAGTTTGTTCAAGAGTCTGACAGTGGGTGGCGGGTGGGCTGGGAGAGTGAATGCCACCTGCCCTTATGTGGGTGTTCCCCTGGACAGGGCGGGGGGGTCAGCCCTGGTCGGTAATCACTTTACCGTTTCAGGGTGGATGGACCTGGGAAGGGAGGACCACCCACCCCATGCAGATGTGCTCCGGGAAGGGTGGGGGGTGGCTCTGCCCAGTAGTCATTATGCCAGTGAGTAGAGGGTGAGCCCGGGCTGGGTGGGTGGGTGGGGGGGTTGTCCTGGTTTGATAATCACTTTACTGTTTCAGGGTGGATGGGCCCAGGGAGGGAGCACCACCCACCCCTGTGCAGGCGTTCCTTGGGCCCCAGGCTGGGTAGGAGGGTCAACCATAGTCAGTGATCACATTGATGTTTCAGGGTGGATAGGACTGGGGAGGGAGTACCACCCACCCCTATGTGGTTGTTCCCTGGGTCTTGAGCAGGATGGGAGGGTCAGCCCTGCCCAGTTATCATGTTGCCGGTGGGTGGAGAACAGGCCCGGGGAGAGAGCACCACCCACTCCTGTCCGGTTGTTCTCCGGGCCCCCAGCTGGGTGGGAGGTTCTGCCCTTGTCAGTGATCATTTTGCCATTCCAGAGAGGATGGGCCTGGGAAGAGAGCACCACCCACCCCTGTGTGGGTGTTCCCTGGGCCCTGGTCATGGTGGGAGGGTCAGCCCTGCCCAGTGATCGCGCTGCCAGTGGGTGGATGGTGGCCCCGGGGAGAGAACATCACCCACCCATGTGCTGGTGGTCATAGAATCATGTTGGAAGGGATCTCCAGGGTCATCTAGTCCAACTCCCTGCACAATGCAGGAAATTCACAAATGCCCCCCCCCTTGGGTCAAAGAGCACACTGGCAGCCATGAAACGTCTGCACCTCAATGCCGTCACCTGGCCACCCATTCCCTGAGTCCAACCCACAGATGCCTCTCCTGACTCCCAAATCTTTCCCCCAAAGACTGGCCTCATTGAGAACATTGTTGCTGTAGGTCAGCATTCCATATCAATGGTGTGGTTTGGGAGTCTTTCTGTCATACAGAGTCTGGGTTGTTGGGTGCCAGGTCCCTCCAGCGGGGGACCCAAACCCCTCCTCCTCTGGATATTTTAGGTTCTGGCTGCTACTCCACCAGTGCCCTCCTGCCACAGCCATGCAGAGAGTCTCAGTCACCAGGTCCCTGTCACCCTCCCATGCAGGGTGAGAGGGTTGCTCCTAACCAGTCATCATTTCAAAAGGGCTGGGTGGTTGGCCACAGGAAGACACAAGCGCCTGCAACTGTGCAGGTGTTCCCCAGGGAGGTGGCTTAGCCAGGTCTGCTCTGTACTGTCTGAAACCAGCTTTGGACAGCTCTCCCAAAAGCAGTTTCCTGGGGGCACCTTGCTGGGGGGAGTCCGCTACTTGGACCGCCCAAACCCGACAGGCACTTAACGTGTGCAGCATGTGGAGGGTCACCCCAGGGAGGGACTGTGTGAGTCAGAGGCCTCTAGCTCACCTGAATCAGTTTTTGTCACTCCTGAACCAGTGGGGGTGACGTCCCACTGAAAAGCATTGGCTTTGGCGACCTTTTTTAGGAGTCTTTAGCTCAGGCCCCTGAAGTCCAATGGGGACCAAATTTGGTGGACACATTGAGAAGAGTGAGCTAGAGGCACCCTCAAAATTTGGAGCCTCAAGACTCCCCGGGGGGCTTTTTTCAATCTGGACCGGTTTGTGAACCAGTTCATGAACTGGCTGTGGTTTGGTTTGGAAAACGGTCCAGGAACTAGGCAGATACAGTTCATGAACTGAACCAGCATCTTGGGGCAAGAGCCCATCCCTAGTAGCCATGTTCTATCCTGGTCATTTTTTAATCCTAATAGAAGTTTGTTTCTGATCAATAATTAAGGTTTGTATTTTTCTTGACACTTCAGAATTTTTTTAAAAAAAACCTCCTGAATTCACTTTGCTTTCCCCCCTCCCTCCCCCAGGATGCAAAATTTGTAGAAGAACGACGGAAACACCTTCAGAATTACTTAAGAAATGTTATGAACAAAGTAATCCAGACTGTGCCAGAATTTACTGCCAACCCTAAAAAAGAGACTCTTATCCAACTGATGCCCTTTTTTATGTAAGTACTGCTCAAATGAATAGATATACCATATATTATTAAAGTTATTTTTCTTTCTTATACAATTTTTAAAATATTAACACTGACTGCTCAAAAATATTCACAATACAGCGTTGCGTTTTGTTTTTAAAAAATCACACATTAGAATTCAGGTAGCCTGGATGTTGTTAGTGAAGTGAAATATTAAAGCACACAGTTCTTTTAGCAATGGCTGTACAGCTTTTGTTGCTTAAAACTATATGGATTTTGACAGAAATGCAAGCAAGAGGAAAAGCACATCGCTGGTAATAGCCAGCATTCCAAGAAACTAGTGCTGTGTAGCTGTGCTTTTTTGCTTTTTAAATTTCTGCTGTGTCTAGATAGGCTTTCAACGACAGATGTTCACGAGCAGGGGGTGTTAGAGACAAAAAAAAGTATAACATGAATTCAATTAAGTATAATATAAAAACAATAATTTAAAGCTGCATCAAACAGCAGTGAAAAAACGAGTTAATTCCCAAATGCCTAGAAGAGCAAAAAATTGCCTGTGTGACAGAAACCGTGTAAGCTTACTAAGGCACAAGAGTGCTGCCTAGAGTGTCTGCAGCCTTGGTCCCTGGGGTTTATATTACAATAACCCATTCATTTCCATTCCACATTGGCCCATCCTGCCAGACTTAATCCTTTTTTGTACAAAGAACAATCCAGTTTTGACCAGACAACCTATTTGTTATGGAAGTTCAGGGCCATTGAGGGGTGGGACTATCATTTTACTAATTTTCTGATTGGTATCAGTAGCCTCTAACATCAGAGATGGGGCCTTGCATGGGATTGGCTTCATCAGCTCATCACTCTTGGGTTGGCTTAGGTCCAAAACCATTAACCATAAATGTCTGGATATTTGGGATTTTCCCTTCCCTTCAATCTTCCGTAGAAGCTGGGGTCCACAGGAGGCTGGGTAGGGGTTAAAAACTCCTCCAACATCTTGTTACTGCAAGGTATTCTACACATGCTCTGAGGAACCTGCTATAGTCTAGGTAACATATTTATCTGAGTTAGATCAATTTATTGCTTCTTATTTGAAAGTCTTTAGGCTGTGTTATAGTGTACCTGTTCCCTGTTTTTCCTCTTTTTTTGTCCTTTTGATTTGCTGTGTGGACTTGTATCTAGTCGTGGACCATAATAAATCATTAATTTCCACCCCTGTTTTAGAATCCAACCACCCTTTCCCCCCTTTCTTGTCCTCTTTCTTATAATAAACCTTTTTATAAAGACTTTTAAAATTTCTTTTAGTACAATCTATTTCTCTGGGATACTTCTAATCTCTTCCAATCCAATTACCGTTATTGGCATGTAAGACTCGCAAACTCATATACAACAATAACAACAATGACATAAAATAATACTACAAAAAACTGATATAAAAGGAATTGCCATATAAATATGCCAGCAATAGAAAACTGATCAATTAAATAAAGGGTGAATAGAAGTAGCACCAGAAAGAAATTTTGCAACAGTTTCTGTTATCTCACAATTTGGATTATCAAGAAGAGTAAGGATCTTTAAACCATCAGAATCTATATATCTAATAGCGAAGGCGCCCCCTGCGTGTGGATATCTAAATCCGTACATCGGGGGCACCTGGGGGGCAGGGAGATTTTCCTGCACACTTGGGGCAGTTCCCAGGTGTGCACAAAAATCTCCCCAAAAGTAAGAGAGCATTTCCTGCGCATGCGCAGGGAACGCTCTGAGAACTCTTGTGGTGTCACTCGTTGGGGTGTGGGGTGCAGGGGTGCATGCGATGCAAAGACGACAGGATACAAACGGCTGCAGGAGCTGATCTGAAACCTCTCGGCTTCCCAGCGTTTATTTATAAGCTCAGTTTTCCCCCATTTCCCTCCCCCTCCTTCTCTCTGCGTAGAGGAAAGTTTCAAGCATTCGAGCATCCTTTTGGAGTGTGTGTGTGTGTGTAAGCTCTCTGTTATCTCTGCCAAGGTCACACTGACTGCGTCATTAAGCAGTACCTCATGCTCTTAGCACACAAATACTTTCGGGTTTCCAATCTCCAGGCAGGAGAATAGTGCTGCACTGCTTTCCTATACTCTGCCATGGGCCGGTGGCTGGAAGCCACTCAGTCCTCGCCGCCGGAGCTGAGGTGGGGAGAGAGGAGGAGATTGGCCGAGGTGGGGGGGGAGGAGACCGATGGAGGGGGAAGAAGCGGGGGGGAGATTGGCGGGGCCCGGTGGCTGGAAGCCTCTCAGGCCGCGCCACCGACACCAGGGAGGGAGAGGGGGAGGCTTGATGGGCCGGTGGCTGTAAGCCACTCAGCCCTTGCTGCTGCTGCTGCTGCTGCTGGGGAAGGAGAGAGGAGAAAGTTCGGCAGGCCGAGTTCAGGCATCTCGCCGCCGGTGCTGGGGAGGAGGAGGGAGAAGGCTTGGAGAGGCGCAGGCCTCGCTGTAGGTGCCGGGGACGGGCAGGGGAGAAGGCTCATCTGTGGCTGCTTCCTTCTCCTCCCCCCACCCCCGCGAGCATCGCAGGTCCCCCTTCTTGTACTCTTCTAATTGAGTCAAAATAGGGTTTAAGAATTCTAGATATAGCGCATAATAGAAGGGGCACTGTAACAGAACATAGGAGATCGTTTCAATATGATCGTTTATGCATCAGAGAAGGGCACGCCCTGAAAGCGGCTAGATAATAAGGCCGAAGGAAGTACATTGAATCTTGCCATAGAAAGGGCTCTACGGAGTTTGGGAATATGAAGTTGATAGAGATAAGAGGCAACTTGGCCAATTTAAGGGAATATTCCAAAATACAGAGGTGAACAGGTTTTTTTAGTGGCGTTATATAATGAATGTGACTCAGAGCGAAGTAGATTGGTCCTTATAATTGAAAAAGCCTTGGAATTAGAAGTAAGGAGTAAGGAATCTAAAGTAATCTCCAGAGATTTAATTTTGGATTCTAGTTAGGTAATCCAATTTGAGTCATTAGATTCTGATAAAATTGATAGGTGTAACTACAAGGATCCGAACTGAAAAGAAGGCAAAGCCAATACTTGATAGTAGTAAGCCATGCTTTAGTTATCAGCATGTTCTGGCCGCATTCCAGGCATAAAGCTGCATAGGGAACACACATTGGAACCCCAAATATTTTCCTCAAGAAATAAGACTGAGGCTGTTCTATGGAGTTTCCAGCTGTATTGATCCAAATGGGCACCCCATATAATAGCTGGGCCCCTATTTTTGGCATTAAAGGCTTTTAAAGCAGCGGGTATGTAATGGTTACCTCTTCCTGAGAAGTAAAATTTAGAGATTGCTGCTGCATTTATTTTAGCTGCATTAATTGCCGTTTTTTGGTGACAAACCCATGTGGTGTTGGAGGTGAACACCAAGATATTTAAAGGTCTTAACCTGTTCCAAGGAATGTCCATTAATTTTCCAATCTTAGACCTTCCAGGAATTGGAAAATACTAGTACTTTGGACTTTTCATAGTTTAGCTCCAGATGGTTAGTGGCACAATACTCATAACAGCGATTAAGTAAACACTTCAGCCCCAAATAAATAGAGGACAAAATAACCGCGTCATCAGTTTACAGGAGTAGAGAAATATGTGCAGAGCCAAAGTAAGTTCCTCGAGACAGAATCAAAGGCCCCTTTAAGGTCCAGGAAGGTCCAGGAAGCTTACCCTTTCTTCTTTTTGTATATTTATTTATCAGGTGGGAGCGGAGAATACAGTGATCAAGAGGAGATTTCCCTTGGCTAAACCCTATTTGCTCAGGACCAAGGATCTTAGAGGATGAGATCCAATTATAGAGCTTTAGTTGTAAAAAATTAGCATATAATTTCCCTGTTACAGAGAGTAAATTTATTGGCCTATAGTTGGAAGGGTTATGTTGTGATCCCTTCTTATAAATGGGCACAATAATAGCATTGGACCAGGCCACAGGCATCTAACCTGTTTTATTTATCATTGTAAAAAAGGAGGTTGGGGGAGGCCCACCAATCTGGGTCAACTTTCAGGATCTCAGGGATAATTTCATCTGGCCCTGGAGCTTTACCTATTTTTAATTGATCAAGGTTATAATTTCTTCAGGGGTAACAGAAGGCCCTCGGGGAGATCAGCCAATTGAGAATGAGGGAACTCATTAGGGCAGGAGAGTTCCTCTTGAAATATGGAAGAAAAATATTGAAACCATGTTCCAGAAGGGATAACAGAAACTGAGGGTGATTTGGCACGTATAGCACCAGCAATTTGAGGCCAAAACTGTCTAGAGTCACTTGTGTCCCATTTTTAAAAAGGTTAATGATCAGTTACCATCCAGTTAACGTCCGATAAGCCTCCTCTCCATTATTGGGAAACTTTATGCTAGGCAAGTGGTTAACAAACTTGGATCTTGGATGTCAGAACAAGGAATTCTGGGTCAAGAGCAAATAGTTTTTTGTAAGGGGGAATCCACCCTAAATCACTGCATGACTCTTACGCAGCTCGTTAATAAGTATAAGAGGCAAAAAGGCGCCAAAGTATATGCAGCCTTTCTAGATCTAAAAGGTGCTTTCGATTCAATCATAATAAAACGTCTATGGGAAAAACTTACGTTGATGGGGATGGAACCGAGGCTTTTACATTTAATAATGAAGCTTCATCATAATATGACCTGTCAAGTTAAGCTTAACAACGTTGGTGACCTAACTGACAAAATTACAATTAATATAGGAGTCAAACAGGGCTGCCTTTTAGTGCCTTTTTTATTCAACCTATTATAAATAATTTGGCACCTACCTTAGATCCGATCAATGGTCACAGTCCTAAACTTGGCTCGATCCCCATTATACTACGGAGTACCAATCTGGATTGAAGCCTTAAAAGGGGATTTGAAAAGAATTCAGTCCAGATTTTTGCGGAAAATTCTTGGACTTCCCTCGTGTGTTCCTTATGCAGTTTTATGCTTAGAAACCAATCAAAGGCTTCTATCAACCAGAGCATGGCTGATAACAACTCAGTTTTGGCTTAAACTTCATTTCCA